ATGATCACACCCTCTTTGCTATACAAGTACCCACCCTGCCCCTAAATAATACACCAATATCTGCTATAGTGCCATCTACCCAGAACCAAAATGTACCACCCATCACCAACTTTCAAATGGCCCCCAATTCTACTCAGGACCAATCTCATACCACATCCAACCCTCCAAATGCAAAGCCTCTTTCAGTTCCTATAAACCAAACACCTTCTCAAACTGCTCAGCCACAGACCAAGAAACCTACTGCCAGCACCTCTAACAACAACATGCCTAAGATCTCAGCCAACTTTGACAAGCCTACCAAGAAGCCAAACTCCCTGAACCAAAAGCACCAGGAATCCCCTGTTATTCAAACTAACCCCAAAGAATCCAAGGAAAACACCTAGCCATCAGGAACCAAAGAACAACCCAAACAGAACACAACCAATTCTGAACCCCCTCCTCCCACAATCACTCAATCCTATGCTACAAAGATTAGAGCAAGGTTTGAAGCTGAAAGAACTCCTTTATCCTTTTTTCCTCCCAAACTCACCACCAAACAGGGCATGCCAGCTGTTATTTTTAAAAGAGAGGATTATATGGTTAATTTGGCTGCCAGATGTAAGTTTACTGTGGTAGGTAAATTCTCCAACACCATGCCCAGAATGGAAGTCATCAGAAAGAGTTTTATTACTCAAACTGAACTCACAGGTGGTGTCAAGATTGCTCACTTCAACTCCAAAACTGTGTACATTGATCTGGACAATGAATATGACCATGCTACAGTTTGGAATAAATAATTCATGTATATCCTAGGACAGATGATGAAAATTGAAGCTTGGACTCCTTTGTTTAAGCCACATGAAGATTCCCCAATTGTCCCTGTTTGGATTGTCATTCCTGAGCTACCATGGCATCTTAACTACACTGAGGTCCTCACTCCCCTTCTGTCTCATGTGGGAAAGGTTTTATTTCTGGAGCTTGCTTCATTTCAAAAAACTAGGGGCAGTGTTGCTAAGGTCAAAATGCAGATAGACCTCACTAAAGACAGACCATATCATGTTTGGTTGGGCTATGATGAAAATCAAGATGAAAATGGTGATGGGCAATGGCTGGAGATTCAATATGAAAATGTCCCTGACTACTGTCCCAATTGCAGACTCCTTGAGCACACCCTTCAAACTTGCCCAGAAAAAGCCAAGAAAGAAGACCAACAGAACAAGAAGATTGCTGTCACACCAACTGACTCCCAAAACCAAAAAGAAAATCCTTCAGGAACACAGCAGAACCAATAAGCACAAACACAGCAAAAGCAAGACAACCACCAAAATGAAGGAAGTCAGCAAAATCAGACAGAAATTGGACCAAGCAGCAAGGGAGAATCACAGGAAGAATGGCAAACTCAGAGAAATAAAAAATCAAAAGGAGGTTCTCAGACCAAAAAGCAGCAGACAGTCTATGTGGCTAAGCAACCAACCACTCAACAGCAACAAAATATCCCAAAGGACTCTCAGCAGAAGGCTCCTCAATCATCAGGTATATCTACTATCAATCCTCCAGCTCCACTGGAGAGGAGTGAAGATTCTGGTGCCCAGAATCACCCCAGTCCCCAGATCCCCTCTATTGCTTCTACTTCTAATATCTGTAATGTTCAAGGAGGAAAGGAGCAAAGTCAGGAGAAACCTTTAGAAAAACACGAAGGGGTACCAAAAGGGGTGGGGCTTCCTCATGTTTTGCATGAGTTTGCTTCTGCATAATTGAATGACCATAGTATGGACCTTCATCCTCCTACTACCACAATCCTGCCAACCAATCAGAGTCCTGAACCTGTAGCCAATAAGGTGAATGATCAGCAATATGAGAATATCAGTTCTGATGAGAACCTGGCAAGCACCCACAATGATCAGTTGAGAAGTCTCTTAAAAGGGAAAGCCCATGTTGGTTCAGATTTCAGCCTCCAATCCCCTAAATCCAAAAACAAACCAAGTCAAATGAAAAGAAAGGCAATGAGAAAACAAAATGCAGGGATCAGCATCAATGAACCATCTGAAAAAAACCTTCATACTCCAATTCAAAACCCTGTTACCTCTCCAACAAAATTTTCTGGACAAGTCTCAGCCAATAAATCTGCAACCTATAAAGACCCTGATCCAGATCCATCCCTCTCTCAACCTCTTTTAGCCTCCACAGATATAGAGATGAATGATCCTAATGCCTATGATGTGCTAACATCCCCTGCTGATGCTGAGGTTTTTGATAAAAACTCACCTGATGAGGATGAATACAGACCAATCATATCAGAAGATGAAATGAGGGGAGACCTTGATAATGAAACTGATTCTAGTGAAGTGTCTGAACAGGACCATCATTGTGATCTCCTGATCAATGCAATCAATGGTGTTGACAACCTTGATGAAGCCATCCCCCCCAAGAGATCTCCATCCAAAATGAGATTATCACCAAGATTGACAAGAAACAGAGCTGCGTCTAGCAGTGTCCCACCAAAACACAAAACCCCCTCCCTTTTTTGATGATTAGTACACTCACATGGAATGTCAGAGGTATTAGAACCTCTGGAGCCCTTGAAAGAATAAAAATCCTCAAAAAACTCCACAAAATCTCCCTCATTGCTGTCCTGGAACCCTTCCTAGATGACTCTCACCTCAACCACTTCAAAATCCAACTGTCCATGCACCAAGCCACATCCAATAATAACAACAAGATTTGGATCTTTTGGGATCAAGATATCAATGCCACTGTCCTTGACTCAGATGATCAGCAAGTAACCTTGGAACTAAGGCATGTTGAAGCTGCTGATCCTTTTCACATTTCAGTTATTTATGCAAAATGTAAGCCAGTATTGAGAAGGCCTCTTTGGGATAATCTGAGGAACAAGTCCATTACTACCTCTACCCCCTGGTGTGCCATTGGGGACTTCAATGTTATTGCTTCTATTGATGAAAAAATTGGTGGTTTGCCATATCAGATTAGCAAAAGCATGGATTTTCTTAGTGTGATTGAAGACTGTGGCTTCACTGATCTAGGCTTCTATGGTCCAAGATATACATGGTCCAATGGTAGAGGTCCTTGTGCAATTGTTTGGAAGAGACTTGATAGGGGCTTAGTCAATGACAACTGGCTGACTTCATATCCTGCCACCACCATCTCCCACCTGGCATCTACAGGCTCAGACCATTCCCCTCTTCTAATGGAAATGCATGCTAGGTCTGACTCTGCCAGGAGATACTTCAAATTTTTGAATTGTTGGACTAACAATGAATCTTTCGTGCCCCTAGTCCAATCAGTTTGGAACACAGATTTCCATGGCAATCCAATGTGGATCTTTCATCAGAAAATTAAAGCCCTTAGTTCTGAGCTTAGTAAATGGTCTAGACATCAGTATGGGGACATTTTTCAAAAAGTCAAAGAATTTGAAGAAAAGGTCAAACAAGCAGAAGAAAAATGAGCACAATCCAACAGAGATTCTGACGAAACAGTCCTTCATGAGCTGAAAGCTCAATATATCAAGCATCTAAAAACTGAGGATAATGTTTTGAAACAGAAAACTCAATTGCAATGGTTTAAGGAAGGGGATGCAAACTCAAAATATTTCCACAGCCTGATCAGGGGTAGGAGGAGAAAGCTCTTTATCCACAAGATTAAAGATGAGGATGGTGATTGGATTTAGGGTGAGGAAGCTATTGGAGAAGCAGCTTGCAACCATTACCAGCAACTCTTTACTGACCCTGGTGGTGTGATTAGGGAGGACTTCCTTTCATGTGTCCCAACCTTAGTCAATCAGGAAGATAATCAGACCCTCAACAGGGATCCTTCCATGGAGAAATTACATGACGTGGTATTCTCCATGAACCCAAATAGTGCAGCAGGTCCAGATGGTCGGAATGGTAAGTTCTATCAACATTGCTGGGACATCATCAAGCAGGATCTTTTCAATGTAGTTGATGCCTTTTTCTGTGGCCAATCTATGCCTAGACATATGACTCAAGCCTGCCTTGTCCTTCTCCCCAAAGTTGAATTTCCCAACTCATTATCAGAATTTAGGCCAATCAGCTTGAGTAACTTCATTAATAAGATTATTTCCAAGATTATCTGTTCCAGATTGGCCCCAATCCTCCCAAAAATCATCACCCCAAACCAAACTGGCTTTGTTAAGGGCAGAAGCATCTCTGAAAATATTATGTTAGCCCAGGAAATTGTTCAAGGCATTAAGAAGCCCAATGTGGGAGGTAATGTAGTGATCAAATTAGATATGGCAAAGGCATATGACAAGGTCTCCTGCTCTTTCACTTGTCTGATCATCAGAGACTTGGCTTCAGTGAAAGAATAATTGACATGGTGTGGAGAACTCTCTCAAATAATTGGTACTCAGTCATAGTGAATGGAACAAGGTGTGGCTTCTTCCACTCTACCAGAGGTCTGAAGCAGGGAGACCCTCTTGCTCCTGCTCTCTTCATCCTAGGTGCTGAATTATTGTCCAGAATGTTGAACAATCTCTCCCATGACCAATTCTTCAATGGCTTCTATATGGAGAGAAGGGGTCCTCAAATAACTCATCTCAGTTTTGCTGATGACATTATCATCTTTACATCTGGGGGTAGAGCCTCTCTGCAGAAAATCATGGACATTCTCCATGCATATGAGCACATTTCTGGGCAGCTGATTAACAAGAACAAAAGCCATTTCATGTCCTCCCCCTCTGCCTTCCAGTCCACTAACAGAAGAATCCATCAAATCACAGGGTTTTCTAGAAAGGAATCTCCCCTCACCTACCTAGGTTGTCCCCTGTACACTGGCAGGAAAAGAATTATCCATTTCAACCCAATCACTTCCAAGGTAGTCAGTAGGATCAGAGGATGGCATGGCAGACTTCTCTCTCATGGAGGCAGGGCTACCCTAATCAAACATGTACTCCAATCTCTCCCTATTCATCTCCTATCTGCTGTATCTCCCCCAGAACTGTCATTAAACAAAATGAGAAGTTAGCAGGCAATTTTTTCTAGGGAATGGACCAAAACAAAAACAAATATCATTGGGCATCTTGGCAGAAGCTAGCTAAACCAATGGAAGAAGGAGGTGTTGGCTTTAGAGCCATTGAAGATGTCTGCAGATCTCTTGAATTCAAGCAATGGTGGTGGTTTAGAACAAAAGACTCTCTTTGGAGCAGGTTTCTTAATGCTAAATATTGCCAGAGATCCCACCCCATCTCTAAAACGTGGAATTCTGGACAATCCCAAGCCTGGAAGAGGATGATGTATAATAAGAAAGAAGCTGATGTTCACATCCAATGGAGACTTCATTCAGGTAACTCATCCTTTTGGTGGGACAACTGGTTGGGTACAGGTCACTTAGCTAGCCATAGAATGCAGGGAGGAAGGCCTGGGAAGATACATGTCTCCTATTTCTGGAACTCTGGTTCCTGGGATGTTCAGAAACTCAACAGTGTTGCCCCACCTCACATGATCCCTGCCATCCTCCAAACTCCTATAGCATATAACCCCCAGTTGCCAGACAGACCAATATGGAAACCTACCACAACTGGGAATTCCACTTGTTCATCAGCCTGGAATGTTGTTAGGGAAAAAGGGCCTCTCCTGTTCATCAATAGAAAGATATGGAACAAGAAAATTCCTTTTAAATGGTCATTCTGCATGTGGAGAGCACTCAGAAACAAGCTCCCTACAGATGATAGAGTAGCCAGATTTGGGCCTCCTATTGTCACCAAATGTGTTTGTTGCATAAGGACTCAAGCTGAATCTATTGACCACATCTTCAGTAGAGGTCACTTTGCAAAAGCTATCTGGAAAATCTTCACTTCCCCTGTTGGATTCCCTTTTGCAGAAATGCCACTAAACACCCTCTTGATGAAGTGGTGGATGTAAAAAACCAACAATGAGATCCATAAGCTGTTGATTGATACCCTCCCTATCATTATTTGTTGGAATCTATGGAAGAACAGATGTGCAACAAAATATGGATCCAAGCAATCCTCTATGACCAGGGTAGTCTTCTCCATTAATTCTGACATCAATCTCATGCTCAAAGCCCACTACCCCACCCTTGGCTGGCCCCCTGATTGGAACACCTTGTACCCCCTCTCTGAAAACCTCCAGTTCCAAACCAAAATCACCCAAGTTACTTGGCAAAAACCAATTCCTGGCTTTGTGAAGGTTAATTCTGATGGTAGTGCTTTAACTAACCCTGGCAAGATTGGTGCAGGGGCCATCATTAGAAATCATCATGGAGATCTCATTAATGCAATTGCATCTCCCATTGGGGAAGGCTCAAATAACTTAGCAGAAACAGAAGCAGCTTTCCTGGGTGTGAAATGGTGCATAGACAGTGGTTTCACCAAGATCCATCTTGAAGCTGATTCTGCCCTCCTCATACATTGTCTAACCACTGATTCCTCACCTCCTTGGACACTCACTATATCCATTCAGAAGCTCAAACACATATGCCAACAGAGTGAGTCCATTACCTTCACTCATGCATACAGAGAAGCCAACACCCCAACAGACTCCCTTTCCAAAATTAGCCATACCCTCAATTCTGCCACCCACTTCTCTTACCTTAATGATCTCCCCATCCACATCAGAGGGCAAGTCTGCCTGGACAAAATGGGCATCCCAGCTTTCAGGCATAAACTGACCAGGAAACTCAGAGATCCAAACCTGTCACTCCCCTCAGCTTCTAATAGATATGGTTAACACAACTCAAAGGAAGGGGAACAGACCTAATTGTCCAAACATTGCAAGCACAATGGAAACTTATGTAGCCATGGGAATTACAAACTCTGTTTGCTCTTTTGCAGGTAATCCCCACCTATGAACTACTCAGTTCATTGATGCTATTTCAGAGTGTGGTATTAGTCCTTGGACTCATTCTCCTGAAATTACACCAAAGAACTGAAGTAGGTTGTAGGGAGGAGCAAGACCACAATCCAATTCATGCAATAAAACCCCACAGTACTACTTCTAGGCAGCCCAGTTTTCCATCACTGAAAGTTCACAAATCTCCTTTCTTCCCTTTCTCCTCTGTTTCCAAACAGAGGAACCTTCAAAAACACTCACCTAAATCCCACCACATAGTAAACACCACATGGAACCCAAACCAACGATGCATCAATCCCCATGAACCTCTTGTAAATGACAGACTCAAAAAGCTGAGCAAATCAGCTCATTTTTTCTCTAATTCTGTTTTTTGTTTTGCAGGTTCCAAGCATCCCCTCTCTTTCAATCAGGTGGCATATACTTCAGGAGTGGTATCACCACCTATGGTGCTCATTCTCCTGAAGCTTGACCAACTGATACTCAATGATCAACCCAACAACACCATCCACACACCCATGACTTCCTTGACCCCCTCTCCTAATAGCAGGATAGCAGCAGTTACTGATGCAGATTATGCAGAAATTTTTTATGCAATCTGTATCTGCATCTCCTCTCTTCTCACCTCTGTTCCTCCCCACCCAAACAAACAGCCCCACTACTTAAGGCAGATCCAATCCATAAACTCCATCTCCCAATCCAAGATAAAAACTTGGACCAGGAATCATGGTTTCCTCAGTCTGATCTGCCTCCACTACATGAGCACCTATCTAGCTGATTGCAGTCAACACAAGAACCTGCAATCAGCTAGTAGACCAGGGATCATAAATGTTCCCCTTCCCCCAGACTCATCTCCAGAATCCACAAGAACCTGGAGATTGAGCTCCCTTCTACTAACAAGTTTTTTTTGTATTTTGCAGGTTCAGGGAGTACACTTGATCAACTGGTACAGTTCCAGTCAGTGGTATCAGCATTTTTAGTGCTCATTCTGCTGGAAAAGTACCAGTTGACACAAGTCTCTCCCTTCATCCACACACACACATTCATGCAGGCCCAACCTCTTCTGTTACAGGCCATCACCCAGAGAACTCTGCAGGATCAATTGTGTACTCAATAGGAGGCACCAGATGTTCCACCATGCTCACTGCCAACAACACTTACAGACTGGAATTTTGCGAAAGGAAAAGGATCATTTTTTGGCTCACTCTCTCCTGTCAAATATGCTAGACAGCAGCAGCACATTCCTACCCCACTTGGAGAATTTTGCTAACTATCTTCCACTTGGCTTTCCTTGACCTCAATGTCAAAGCTAAGTGGAAGATAGCCCATCACTTTGTTTTGGATTATGTACCATTACGCCTAGGTGTTTCCTACATGTATATGGTATGTAGGATTTAGTGTACATGTATGAGAAGCTTACACCTCTTTTGCTTAGCATTCATAGGTTTCCTATTGCTTTATTGTATAGTTGACCTAGGTTTACTAAAACTGTATTTTGTATCACCATTTGACTATCATTGTTGGATAGTCAATTGGTTCATCTCTATAGGACTAACCTACCATAGTGTTCAGGTGCAACTTGGCTACCATATGTGGTTGACCAAGTGCGTTTTCATTACTCTCGTGGAGGTAAGGTTCACGTCCCCCTCCACTTTTATTGTAACTTATATTTTATCTATAAAAATCAACACTAAGCACAATGCCTAGTGGATTCAAAAAAAAAAACAAAAAAATATTTTCAAGGTATTTATGGCATATCCAACACCATCAACTCAAAATAAACTACTCAAAAATCCCGGTCACTTTTCGACAACTCGAAATATAATATTATTGAAGTTAAGGACATGGCAATTGACAAACTTTTACGTTATTGTCTAATACATACTTTTAAATATGTGAATTAGATTTTGAGGGACACTGAAAAATGTTCAAGGTATTTTATAGGGGGTATTATCTATCGTGATTGTCAGATTGAAGGAGGAATGAAGCTCGCAGAGGAGCTCCAATGGAGGTTCCAGAATATTCCGAGTAAGGAGAAATATTTGAGAGCAGAGCAAATGAGAAGAAATTGTAAAATGTGACTCTCATTCTATTCACATTATAATCATGTGTATATATGTACACGTGTGTAGCATGTGTAGCTGAAAACAAAATCTATCTACAATGTAAAAGTTGCTGACTCAGCATATTACAATTAACTTAACTAACTGAGACAAAATTGCTTAACTAACTATATCTCAATACTCCCCCTCAAGTTAGATAGGAGGATCTCACAGGCAACTTGCGAAGAACAACATTATGTGTTAACTCCTATGAGTGCTTTAGTAAGAATGTTAGCCAATTGGTCAGTAGTGGCTACATGTTGAAGAGAGATCGGGCCTTCCTAAAGTTTGTTCCTTACAAAGTGACAGTCGACCTCAATGTGTTTTGTCCACTCATGGAAAACAAGATTGTGAGCAATGTGGTCACAAAAACAGTAATGGGACTGGACTGTGGGATAGTAAGCTCTTCAAGCAATCTACTTAACCATATCAGTTCCCCAACAACTTTCCTGAGGGACCTGTATTCAGCTTCAGCTGAGGACAAGGAAATAATTTCTTGTTTCTTGGATTTCCAGCTAATGGAACTGTCTCCAACCAGAACAATATAACCAATAACAGAACTCCATGAATTAGGGCATGATGCCCAGTCAGAGTCACAATAAGCAGAAATGGAGAAATCAGTGTCATTGGAGAAGAATATCTCAAGTGTGGGATCTGTCTTGAGGTATCTGAGAAGATGGAAAACTGCACTTAAGTGTGTATCTCTAGGTGCTTGCATGAACTGGATGAGGAGCTACACACTGTAGGCTATATCCAGTCTGGTGTTGGTTAGGAAGTTCAGTTTGCCCACTAATTTTCTGTAATATGTAGGGTTAGGGAGAAGAGTGCCTTCATCAGCCTTCAATTTCGTAGTAGAATCAAGGGGAGAAGACAAGCTGCTGTAAGCAAAACAGTCATATTCCTTTATTAAGTCTAAGGTGAACTTCCTTTGAGAGAAGATGACACCATCTCACTTGTAAAGGACCTCTAGACCCAAGAAGTAGTGAAATCTCCCCAAGTCCTTGATTCTGAACTACTTGTCAAGGAATGATTTCAAATTGGCCATCTCTACTGAATCAGTACCAGTGATGATAACATCATCAACATACACAGCTACAAAGATAGTGTAGGATGAAGTTTTCTTAGAGAAGAGTGAATAATCATTTTCAGAGTGTTTGTATCCCGTTGATGACAGGGCTTTAGTCAGCTTGGCATACCATTGCCCGCTGGCTTGTTTCAGCCCATACAAAGAAATAGTTTGCAAACCACCTTTTGTGAACCAGTTTGGTCAATCCAAAGACCTGGTGGCACCTCCATGTACACTTCTTCATATAGATCACCATATAGGAATGCATTATTTACATCAAGTTGAAATATATCCCAGTCTTTCTTCACAGCAACAGTAACTAAGACTCTAACTGTTGTCATCTTGACAACAGGGAAAGAGGTTTCTGTATAGTCAATCCCTGCTTGTTGAGTATAACCTTTCACCACCAATCTAGCCTTAAATCTCTCTATACTACCATCTGCTTTATGTTTGATTATATAGACCCATTTGTAGCCTATTGCCTGCTTTCCAGCTGGCAAGGATACTAAGTCCCAAGTGTGGTTGGCATAGAGAACCTTAAATTCCTGTGTCATGGCTGCTTGCCATGCAAGACTGAGTGCTGCCTCTCCATATGAAGATGGCTCACTATTATGACAAACATTTGTCACTAAGTGCTGACTTTCAGAACATAGGGCATCAGGGGTAACATGACTGTGGTTGGAAAAGAGTGCACTTAAGGAAAGTGAACCTTGAGGAGCATTAGGATAAGATGTGTTAGGCGGGTTACAAATATAATCCTTGAGGTAAGTAGGAGTTTTATGTGTTCTGTTGGATTTTCTTAGTATAGGTGTTTCTGATTCGGTAGGTGTTGGTAAATGATGACTGGTAGTCTCATGTGAAGTTTCAAGGATAAGAGAATGATGAAAGGATGAGATGTCTGATGTATATATTGTATTAATATGTGAGGATTCAGGGGATTGATGCACTTCTGGAGATGTGATACTTGTAGGATTTTGAACATTAGAGTGTGGACTGCTACTTTCAATGTAAGTAGGGAAGGAACGTGATTTGAGGACATTGTACAAGGAGACATTCTTAGACCCTAGAGAGAAAGGAAAGACACTTTCATAGAACACTACATCTCTAGAAACATGAATCTTTCTAGTGGCTAGGCTTAACACTTTGTAACCCCTTGTCCCTAAGGGATAGCCCAGAAAAACATGAGGAGTTGTCCTGGGCTCAAACTTGTCTCTGTGCACCTTAGGCACAGTAGGATAACAAAGACAACCAAAGCTCCTCAAGTAAGAATAATTGGGCTTCTTGTGATATAGGAGCTCAAAAGGACATTTTTTGTTTAGGTAGGTGGTGGGAAATCTGTTAAAATCAGGTAAGTGGATGTCAAAATGCATTCTCCCCAATATTTAGTTGGTAATTGGATTGAAACATTAGTGCCCTAGCAGTTTCAAGGAGATATTTGTGTTTCCTCTCTACTGTTCCATTTTGTTGTGGGGTATAAGAACATGTTTTATGGTGAATAATGCCTTTGGATTGATAAAATGGGGTGGCTTCATGACTGGTAAACTCCAGTCCATTATCAGATCTGATGGTTTTCAGAGATGTTGAATTGATTCACAATCATGTTTACAAAGGCTTTAAGGGTTTGTAGGGCATTACTTTTGTTACTTAACAAATGGGTCCAAGTGGACCTACTAAAATCATCCACTAAGGTGAGGAAGTACTTGTAATTATCA